TATTATGTTTTATGCAATGATCTTAATTTCATAAATATCTCCTTTAAACTTAAATCTCAAACCGCCATAAATCCTGATATATGTTACCAAACAGTTTCTCAGGATTTAACAAAATTTAACATTTAACATACCAAACAGTTTTTAGGATTTAGCACATTTCGGATTTACTAAATCCGGATTTACAGGATTTATTAAATCCCACTAAAGTTAAATCCCACTTGTTGCCAAACAGCCCCTTAGAATAAAAAAATGAGTCTTATTTAAAAATTTTTATGTAAAACTTTCCACAATGCATCTTATCTTGATTGGAAGTTTTCTTTACAAATCAAAAGGTTTTGGGTTTGAGTTTTGCTTATGAGGCATGTGTGTGAATTTGTCTTAATCGGCCTAAATGTCAAAAAAACCTTTCCACCATTAAGATTTCATTTGGGATGGCTTTCTTAATGCTTCTTAAAAGTGATTTGTAGTAAAAAATTAAATTTATTATAAAAAAACTATTTTAAGAAACAGTAAGAAAGTTATTTCAAACGAAGTCTAAGGCTTTCGTTTGGGACGGTTTTCTTTCTGCTTCTTGAAGCAGCTTTCTAGTACAAAGTTTTTTATTTTTGTACTAAAAAACTGTTTCAAGAAGTGAAAAGAAAGCCGTCCCAAACGAATCCTAACTCTTTTACACATATAAATATTATATTATTTAAATTAAAAACAAATTACAGGACAAAAATAACCTAACAAAACCGAAATGACAACTTGTGTTATTCTCGGCAAGCTGAAAATAATGAAATTGAAAAAAGGAAAAAAAAAGGTCAACGCCTGATTATTCTTTGATTATTAATGTTGACAGATTCAAGCCATCTTTCTATTCTAGAACATGGAAGCTAGGAGCATTCCAAAAGAGAACAAACCACCAATGGTATATTTTCTTCATTACATTGCCATTTTGATTTTATGAGAATGAATTTTTCAGTTATATTATTTGCTAGAAAATTTATGATAACAAAACATTTGGAAAATATCTTAGTTTTTATAAAGTTTCATCACAAATAAATAAAAGTTGTAAGAGTTCAAAAAAAATTTTATAAGAGAAAATTACGAGACCTGATCTACCTGCAATAAGCCAATTTATATTTGTAGGTGCAAGAATATACTCCTATCTATAATAGAGAAATATGAAATTATACCATTTAATATAATTTAGTTCTCTTGTAAGGATCATAGAAGTCAGATTTTCATGAACAGAATTGAAACTCAGTAACGAGATTGGTTATTAACAATTAAGTAAAAATAGTCTATTGATGGAAGTCAAGTGATGGTGACAATAATTATTGATGGTGGTCATCAGCGATGATCTGCTAGTAAATATAAAAAAGTTTTTAGTCCTCTCAACTCTCGAAGCCCATTCATGTAGAAAAATGAGGCCATATTCATAATTTTTTAGAGGGTCATAATTCAACCGCTTTGATCATATATTATTTATCTAGTATTTGAGTAGTTTAATAATGTTAGAATCTAATGATCTTGAGCTCGTTGAATTCAACTCATCAAGTCGCTAAATTTAAGTATAAGCACACAATATTTTGTTGATAAAACTTGAAATTTCTAAATATGCTTGAAATATTTGTTTTGAACTCGTTCAAAGAATGATCAGTCGGATCAATTACAATGCTTATGAGTTATTCTTGTTAAGACATTCATTTTAATTATAAATTTGCTAAAATTGGAGGTCGGGTGATTCTAATTTCATATGTTTATATTTCATATATTACTTTGAAATTCGTGCCCCCTAGTCAATTTTTTTTATATATCTATATAACTTTGGCTTCATTTGGAATAACATTTTTATTGTTTCTTAAAACAACATTTTAGTTTAAAAATTAAAATTTTTATACTAACAATCTGTTTTAAGAAACAGTAAAAAAGCTGTCCCACGTGAAGCCTTAATGAACAAAATTTTTGTTTAGATTACATTTAAAGAAAATCCCTTTCTTTAGCTATTAGGCCATTGAACCATTCCCCTTTTTTTTCACACCATAATAGTCAAAAGAGCATGCCTCTGCGTTGACCAAAAGTGATAAATTATTGTTAAGGTCAACCCTTTTTGGTCAACAATTTTGTGGTCAACTCATAAGTCATAAATTATTCATTCTCCATCCAATTCAAAATGGACCGCGTAGTCCTTTTTTAAACGGTAGGATCAAATTTTAAACACGTGTTAATTTTATATATTTTGGTTCATTTTGTTACGATATTGATTAATGCAATAATTAGTTTAGAACATATCGCATCACTAATCATAATCCGAACAGCTTAATCTTTGAATAAAATCATTAATTTTCATGTTTAGCTTAGTAAATAAAAGCGCTTATAATAATTAGTTTATATCAAGCTAATTATTAAGCATCTATTCAGGACAATTACAATATTTTATAAAAAAATTTGTGAAATTGTTAGGAGGAATTATTGTTTTTTTTAATTGTAATGAATTTATGTATATATAACATGTCCGATCACACATTGAGTTGTGTTGCGTCCTGGAGTTCACAACAGTAGATAAGTATAAATTTTAATATCTAAACTTTGTACAAAGTCCAACACGTATACAGATAAAGAGAGAGAGGGGGCAGTAGCATATATAAGAGACACCAAAATTTTTACGTGAAAAAATTCTAAAAAGGAGAAAAACCACATGGCTTATTAGATCATTTTGAATGAATCTTCTATTATTTGCAGTTGAGTACAAATGATGCCCTTCTTTAAGGCAATGCCTTAGCTTGATATAACAAATTTACATCATATAGAGTGTGTAACATGATGAGACTTGAAAAAATGACTATTGATACATCTGTTTGGTTGGTAAAATCATAGTCAACGGGCAATGGAGCTCAGAAAAGATTGTAGTATGATGACGGTGGTCAAAGGGATCATAGCCGGCGAGTGATAGTAGTTAGAAAAGACCATTGTATGGCAATGAAGGACATCAATCTAGCTATGGAGGTCGGAAGGGTCGTAGTCATCGAACGACAGTGGCCAAAAAGATCGGTAGGCTGCCGGGTGGAAATCCGACGGTGGTTGAGGATAAGTCTGGTGGTAAGAGAGCTCTCTTACTTTTTTCCTTTTCTTTTTGTTTGGGCTTCCTTCTCTCTCTCTCTCTCTCTCTCTCTCTCTCTCTCTCTCTCCTTCCCCCTCATGGGGGTCTCCTTCTATGAGAAATGAGGGGTTTATTTATAGTTTTATGAGAGTGACATAACTAGTAAATATGAGGAAGATCAAGGATAAATTGTGAGTGATTTTAATGGACGATCGATGTTAAATCCCTTGGTCGTGGACCGTTTATTAGGTATTTGAAGACCCTAATGATATCAAAATTTGACAATCTTGGGCTCGTTGGATTCATCTCGTTGAGCCGCTCGTTTGGACTAAAAGAATTTCATGTTAGAAACCATTTGGTAATCCAAATTATAGTTTGAACCCTCCAAAGGCGCTTCACGTCTTTAATTTGGTCTCATTTGGCTCGGATTGAATGGAATTTAATGTCTTTGGGTTCATATTTTCGAGACAATCACTTCGACTATAAGTTTGCTTTGGAGTTCAGATGGTCTTCGGTTTAATTTTTAAAGTTTATAATATTGATTTTGCTTCGAGATTCGTGCCCGATCAACATATATTTTTTGATGATATATCAAGTTGTAATCGTGTCAATAAATTTTTAACACGTTAAGAAAAAAAAAGCCTGCTAAGTACCCACCCCACTAACACATTACCCCAACAGACGGTGGTGGAAAGGGCACCACGCCCTTTCGTATACTCCATTTGGACTGCGAGGGTTGAAAAACCCTCACGCTTTTCGCCCCTTTCTTTTCTTCCTCAATAAAACAAGGCAAAGGAGGCGAAGAGGCAATCCCTCAAACACTTCTCCTCTATGGCCACTACACTTCTCTCCCTCTTCCTCCTCCTCGCCGCCGTTTCCTCCTCCGCCGCCGCCGACTCCTCTCTATTGCCGGTTATCCTCAACGCCTGCAAGGCCAGCCGCTTCCCCGACTCCTGTGCCGACCGCCTCTGCAATTCAACCCCTCCCATTCCCCCCAATGCCTCCGCCTCCTACATTATTCTCACCATCTTCAATACCTCCCTCTCCGATCTCTTCACCGCTAGCTCCACCGTTCAATCCATCCTCGATTCATCCGCCTCAAACCTCAATCGCACCAACGCCGCGCGTATCTGTCTCGAGGTCCTTTCCTATTCTACTCATCGCCTCTCCGCCGCCGCCTCTTCCGACCTCCTTTCCCCCGATTCACGCACCTGGGCCGGCGCCTCCCTCCTCTACCAATACGACTGCTGGTCCGCTCTCAAATACGTCAACGGAACCTCCCAGGTTGCCGCCGCAATGACCTTCCTCACCGACCTCAGTAATCGCACCAGCGACGGCCTCTCGATGCTGGCCGCGCTCCACCGCTACGGCGCCAATACCTCTCTCTGGGGCCCGCCACAGACCGAGCGCGATGGGTACTGGGACTCGCCGTCGGAGATCCCGGCGATCGACGGCTACCGCGGGGTTCCGGTGGACCTGCCGGCGAATTTCACTGTATGTAAGGACGAAGGGTGCGATTATAAGACGGTCCAGGCGGCGGTGGATGCGGCGCCGGCGTACGTCTCCGGCGGGCGATTCGTGATCTGGATCAAGGCGGGCGTCTACGACGAGATCGTGCGGGTGCCGATCGAGAAGACCAATTTGGTATTTGTCGGGGACGGCATGAGCAAAACTGTCATTACGGGTGACCTTAATGCCGACCAGGTCGGCGTCACAACCTATAGCACCGCCACCGTCGGTAAGTAGACTTTTTTTTATTTTCTTCATTTTTCTTATAATTTTTTTAATTTTGACTTAATTACATCTTATTTTTCTTATGATTTTTTTAAATTTAACGTAATATTATAAAATATGTGATTTAAATTTATGATTTTAAAATAATAATATTTTTTCCAATCAATACGCCATAAATATTTTAAATAAATTTTTTATTAAAACCTTGATTTCGATTTTTTTGTTTAAAAAATACAATAAATTATGATTCTATTTATATTGTTTCTAAAAGTATAAATTTGCTTATTCAAATTTCTCTTAATTATTCAAATTCTTTTGGTCAATTAGATGCACTAATTTTCGTTTAGTTTTTTAATAACTATGAATTCTCCCATTGTTCTACTCGTAATTAACGGCAATAATCATGGGCAGCTTTAGAAAGCTAGATTTGCAATCATTTATATATGGGATGTATTTGTATTTTTATATATAAATAAACAAATTCCATAATAATAAAAATTATAAATTTCTTCTAACAAATATTAAGGATTTGCATATCGTTATATATTTTATGTCTAAATCTTTATCTTTACATATATAACATCTTAATATCTAAATTTGATAAAATATATAATTTATATTAAGTTATCTAAAATAAAATATATAAATACTTATTTATTTTTCAATGAATAAATTATCATTAAGACATTCCTAGCTTGAAACAAAACTTCTGAATGAATATAAATATTATAAATTTAATAGAGAAAGGAAAAATGGAGAATGAAGCAGGTAGATGAGGAGAAGATGGGATATAGGAGTTCAAAATCAAACACGAATCGTGCTATTATCGAGCTTAATGTCGAGCTTGTTCGCGAACTTCAAATGATGCTATTCGCGAACATAAATGAGCCGAACACATTAGTGTTCAAGTTTGTTTATTTAAGAATCTAGTATTTAAAATATTGTTCAAGTTTGTTTGTTTAGTTAATTAAACGATCACAAACGAGCTTTAATCGAACCGAACAATGAGTAGCTCGTCGAACGTTTGGTTCGCTTGCAGCCCTAAATAGACTAAGGGGTTTGTTTGGGACAGTTTTCTTAATACTTTTTAAAATGGTGTTTTAGTTAAAAAAATTTATTGAATTAGAATTTTTTTTAACTAAAAAGATGTTTTAGAAAGCAATGAAAAAGTTGTCTAGAAGCCTAAGACTTCATTTAAGATGTCTTTTCATACTGTTTTCAAAAGCAGTTTTCTTGCACACAAAAATTTTATACTAAAAAGCTGAAAACTGCTTTAGAAATCAATAAAAAAATTGACCAAACAAAGCCTAAGATGAGTTGTGTTAAATGATCTTGTACGACAACTCGGCACATATATGGTTGACTCATTTAATAAGTTAGTTCGAAATTTCGACATATTTAATTGTTGGGTCGGATTCGGGTTTACATGAAAACTCAATTTTAATTTGAGAGTGGCGTGTTTATTCTTTTTCATAAAATTCCTTTTGTTTGTTGGAATGTTGTTTTTATTTTTGATTAATAAATCTAAACTTAATAGTTGATAAATTAAGTTTTTTTTAATCAAAATAAGTTATTTGGCCTGGATCTTGTCATTAGGGTTGATAGTGGGCTTGGTTTAAGCTGCTCTATTTATTAAAAAGTTGAATTAAAGTCATCTGGATTCAGTTCAGTAAATTAACTTTCTATTAATTTGCAGAAAACAGTCATCATGCACAGTAATTGCCATTATCGTTAAACTTTTTTTAAAAAAAATTTTGTGCAAATTTAACTGAAAAGTCAAAGTCTTTAAGAAGGGCTGAAAGAAAGTGTAATTATATGTAAAATATATAGTTTTTTTCTTAGCAGGCCGGCGTGGTCTGCACTACCGCCCACTGGTATAACGAATTCTGTTCTGTTGTTGCTTACAGCTGTGGCCGGCGACGGGTTCATGGCCCGGGACCTAACATTCCAGAACACGGCGGGGCCCGACGCCCATCAAGCCGTCGCCTTTCGAGCCGATGGCGACTTCACCGTCCTCGACACAGTGGAGCTCTCCGGCCATCAAGACACACTCTACGCCCATTCCCTCCGCCAGTACTACAAATCCTGCATAATCTCCGGCACCGTCGACTTCATCTTCGGCAACTCCGCCGCCGTATTCGACGACTGCCTCATCATCATCGTCACCCGCCAATTCAGTCCCACCAAAGGCGAGTCCGACACCGTCACCGCCCACGGCCGGACCGACCCGGCCCAACCCACCGGCTTCGTCTTCCACAATTGTCAGCTGAACGCCTCCGAAGAATACTGGAGTCTCTACAAGAAGAATCCTTCGCTCCACCGCGTGTACCTTGGGAGGCCATGGAAGGAGTATTCGAGGACCGTTTTTATCAGCTGTTATCTGGAAGAGTTCTTGAAGCCGGAGGGGTGGTTGCCATGGTCGGGGGATTTTGCGCTTGAAACGTTGTACTATGGGGAGTTCGAGAGCAGGGGACCTGGAGCCAATGCGGCGGCGAGGGTGCCGTGGAGTAGCCAGATTCCGGCGGAGCATGTCGGGGTTTATTCAGTGGAGAATTTTATTCAGGGGGATCAGTGGATTCCGACGGCGTCGTCTCGGTAATCCATTTGGAAGATTAATATGATATATTAGTAAATTAATGTTTGTTTTATGATTTATAAAATATTAGAATTATTGTTTCTATTGAGAAGAATAAGGACAATCATAAAAGAGAAATTGAAAGGCTTATTCAGAATGGTAAGCCAAATGGCAAAACAGTCAATTTTTTTTAGTGCTTTGTTTTTCAGATTAAGAGTATATTTTTATTTAGTTATTACTTTTTTTTATTCATTTTTGTATTGGAAATTTATTTTTTTATAATCATATTCATTATTGTGTGGGAGCTATAAATAATTTTTTGTTTATTTTTTTAAAAATATATATATTTATATTCAATTATTTTTTTAATTTCTTTTCTGATAATAATTTTACAATCATCTTTATAAAGAAATTATAGCCATCCCAAAAATACACTAAAGACTATGTATACTCAACATATAAGTTCATCAAAATTGTAAGGTAAAGGAAATCAATAGGCCCAATATGTTTGAAGGAAGCACTAAAAAGACTATATATACTCAACACATGAAGATAATAATAGATAAATTTAAATCCAAAAACAGTGCAATCATACAAAATGCAAATAAGTCAACACGTATATATCATTGAAAATTCGTTAATTTACAAGCAATGGCAAACGCTACCGCGTTTCCCTTACTAATTGCCGTCTTGATCTGGGCCATTGGGCTGGTATTTCAAAACGTCACTTCATACAGCCTGTTTCAAACGAAGCATGGGCTTTTGACTTGGTATTGGGGGCTAATCCAAACTTCTATGGATTAGATATTTTTTCTCCCTTAATATGCAGAGTGTGGGGCCCACTGTCAGATAGAGCAATCAGTGTCAACTTATGACATGAACCTAAATGACCCACCACCACCGACATCCCGCCCGCACGTCCAACCCGTGCATCGTGTTTGCCTTGATAGACCAGTGCGTCCCTTCCACACCTTGTTCCGCTGTCCCGCCCTCACCAAGATAGCTGCGCTCGCTTTGGGCTTGCACCCACTCTTGACGGACACTTGACTACACTGTGCTTGCCCAGGCTAGCGTATCAGGTCGGGTTGACTTAGGTTTGTGGCAATTATGTCATCGTTTAGATTTCATACATATTTGTGTAATTGAGTCAGGTTGGGTTAGAACAGTCGAAGGCCAATCAGTTTTGAGTTAGACCTAAAAACTCATTTTGACACCCCTAGAGCATTGACGCGCATGAAGTAAGAAATCATGAGCGACATGATGTCTATTAAATATTTTAAAGATGATTAAAAACATGACTTTATATTAATGCACAACTTATTTAATTTGATAAGTCAATACATCCAACACAAAATTTTAGGCCACTTAACGCCCATTTCAATGATAGAATTGTTATGAGAGTTGGACATTATGAATGATAGAATACAATGACAATTCAAATCTTTTTAGATGAGTTAAGAAAGCTACAATGAAATCCTAAATACTTTTTATGAATATTAGTTTTATAATAAATATACAATAGGTTTCAAAATAACAACAATTAGCATGAATTTTATTAGCAAAACTACTATCATTTACATGCTAATTATTAAATTCTATGTATCATTAGGTATATCATGATAATATTTCATTGAATTTTACTATCTCAATCAAACAAAATGCTAACTTTACAAGTTTAGCGCAAGCACAAATATAAAACAATAATTTATCCATAGTTTAGTTCATCTACATTAAAAAAAATTATTCCAACAACAACAACCTCAAGCCTTAATCCCATTATGTGTAATCCACTACATGAATTATTTCTATCCTATTAGAAGTCAAATTCTCATTTAATTCAAATAAAAAAAAATGTCATTTCTAATACTTTCTAACAAAATCTTTTTAAATCTATATATTTCTTAACATAGGCCACATCCAATATATCTATTCTCTTAACTGGGTCATCAAAAGGCCGACACTTTGTGACCAATTCTTATATGCTAGAGCTACTCCAACCTTTATACATTTACTCATTCTACATTGTCTCAAAGTGTAAAGCCACTCATCCACCTAATCATCCTCTTCCGGAGAACGAAATTTATTAGAAAAGAAAAAAATAATCAAAATGAGTCTTAAAATCATTGCATTTGATAATTTTGATGAGTGCAATATATAAATAATCAATCAAAATTTATATAATGCACATCTCAAAATAAATTTAAAAAGTTTAAGATTTATCCCAAATAACTTTTATCCTATAAAAATATGAATTTTGGCCTAATTTTAAAGAGTTCAGAACTACCTATATCACCTCCAAACAAAAGCTTAAAAAAGGTAGAGGTAAACCTAAAAAGAGTTGGTTTGAAAATATAAAAAACGATCTTTCTTTATTAGAATAAAATGAGAATTTGACTTTTAACCTGACACGATGGCAAAAAAAGATTCATGTAGCCAACCCTATGTAGTGGGACAAAGGCTTGATGTTGTTGTTGTGTTGTTGTGACAGCTTTCTTAATGCTTTCAAAAGCAATTTTTTAATATAAAATTTTTTAGTTTAAAAAACTTTTATACTAAAAAATCACTTTATAAAACAATAAAAGCCATCCCAAATGATGCCTAAATAAACAAAAATATTACATGAACTGTATGTTGTGTATGGCATGAACTCCCAATGCCAAAAAAAAAAAAAAATCACTTAAGGTTTAATATACCTATGAAAAATTTGAGAAAGCCTGGAGCCTACAAACTGGGAAGAGCAGCAATAGGCTTACCATTTGCAACCGAGGAGCTATTTTCTGTCCCGTTTGTCTCTCCCCAATGCCACAACATACTCTCCCAGAAGCAGAACTCCTCAAAGCAGATATGGAGCCTTGGATCAGTTATGTTCCTCTTCCAATGGCCATCCACATACTTCGCCTTCTCGGCCTGCCTTCGATCCCATTCCAACGCCGCCTTCTGCTTCGATCTCAAAAGGCAAAAGCTCTGCAGGTTCTCTGCCATTGTATCGTGCACTCGCCACCATCTCGCATGCGCTACATCGCTCGCAAATTCCTGCAATATGTCCACATTCCAGTTGCAGTCATAGTCCCTAAAGCATAGCCATGGCTTCAGACCAAGGTAGTGCAGAACATAAAGAACTGGGGGCTCTGCACCAAACAATCTTATCTTCTTCTCTTTTATCTCCTCCTCGTCGCCAATCCAGAAATGCTTCAAGAAGTTCATGTGCTTCGGGATTCGGTGCCACCATGTAAAGATTTCATTCAAGTAGCCTTGGTCTCCTCCATTGTAAGATTCGATCTCATTGATGTGATCCATGAGCATGTGGAATGTGCAATTGGATGGCTCTATAACCATTACACCTGAATTGAAGAGAGTTGCGTTGTTGCCTATGGCGGTTACTTCCGGCATCGCGAAGAGGAAATCGATGTTGCGCAGGATCAGAAGGTCAGCATCAATGAAGATGATCTTGTCATACTCTGTTAGTTGCCAAAGCCTGAATTTGCTGTAATTCCATTCGTTATATGCATCGCGTTCGGCCTTGGGATTTCGGATCCTTTGGATTGTTCTCACCTTCCACCCAGCATCTGCAAGGCCATCACGGTGATGGCTGCTGATTGTTTCATCAACGAGTATGACGAGGTCTCTTGTAGAGCCAGATAAACGAATACTTTGAGCTGCAACAATTGCGCCACAGACGTAAATATGCGCCGAGTGAAGTATTGTAGCATATGCTTCGCGTTGGCGTCCTGATTCAGAATGGGGCCTCACTGTACCAAAAAAATGAAGTTAATGGTAATTTCAGAAGGTTCAAAATAGATTCACGAGTACTGAAAGAAGTGTTACAGGAAAACTAACCATCTGTTATCAGTGGAACTGCTAGTTTGCAGGAACCAACAGGAAGCTGGAGCTTTTCTCCGAGATTTCTTGGATCTGGCCTATAAAGCCAAGCATTTCCTTCACGAATAACCAGATTCTTGCAAGAGAAAAGATTTGGAATGGGAAAGCAATCAGTAAGAAGGATTACATGTGTCTGGAGCTGACCAACGCTAGATTGAGAAGCCAGTTTAGCAGCAGCAAGCTGCAAGTGAAATCGCGCAACATCTCTTGACCAATTCTTAGATGTTTTATTACAAGGAAGCTTGGCAGCAATAAGGTCAAATGAAGCACTTCTTGTTACTCTAGGATCAGGAAGATCTGCGCAAGTAGGCACTTCGTTTTCCTCTTCCTCATCGATCCACTCAGGATATAGATTCTCCCAGGTTAGGTTGGTCTTTGCACTATCAAGTTGCAGAGCAAGTAGTTCTGCACGTGGTAGCAGTTGCTGCCAGGAGTTGATCTCAGTGATGTTGAAATTTAGAAGGCCAACTTCCAATTTTCTTTTCCTACCGTTCAGTTTCGTAACAGCTTTTGAAATTTGCGTCCAGTTAACATTCACATCAGATAGATATCGAGAATCAGAAACAGGGCTTTCCCATATCCATCCAACATCGACAAATCTGGACCTGAATTTGCAATTACTTCATAAATACTATAAAACAATGCTGAAATTTGGTCATAAATTCCCTTCTAACTGATCACAAATATAAACCATTGGAATAATAAGAAATATAATTTAGAGTTTCACTTCAAAATTGTAAGCAGCAACAGCATATTTGCATAAATGTATTTAGATTTGTATTTAAGTATATGCGTCTATGCATTTACACATGAATTTATGCATGTATAAGTGTATGTATGCATACTAGTAATGCAATCCTGGAAGAGAAACAATACGCAAGCAAAGAAAAACAAAGATTTCTCGATGGAATAGTGTTCTAATATTGATTACTGTAAAGAAGCTCCCCTCTCTCCCTCGTCTACTAGTATATATATATTTTGTCTATAATATTTTTAATATTGCTATTACTGACATAACAAGCAAAAAGTAATGCTAGCATGGTAATAATAGAAATGGTACTAATGTAGTGGAATGTGAAGTAGTGGTAAATGCCCTGCTACTTAATTAGTCCTTCCTCTTAACTCAGCATCAATCCTCCCCAGCATCTGAAGAGTTTGACGCCGATTAGCTGATTGCAATAGGTGAGTCATTTAAAGGGTAAAAGGCCCAAATATCAGTTACATTGAAGGTTGGGGAAATGTGCCTATCTGGCGGTAACCATAATATAAGCGTTGTCGTTGGTCTTTGCTATGATAGGTATATGATCGATTTTATGGTGTATCAATTTGGAGAAGGTTCCTGATGGGAAGCATTCTCGACGCAATCTGACCATGACAAGATCACCAACGTGAAAAATCTGCGGTCTGCGATGAGCATCAGCTGCAGTTTTGTAGCAATGGTTGGACTTGGTGAGCTGCTCACGCACATCCATAAGCATTTTGATATACTGATTAGTGAAGGTTGTAGCAGTTGTTGACTTGCACTTAGGTAAAACAACAATGTCACATGCTAGATTAGGTAATTTAGTATATACAATCCTGAAAGGAGACTTACCGGTGGAAAGATTTTCATGGCGTTGTAAGCAAATTCAGCTTTGCTCAGCATGTATTCTCATTGCTTTGGGTTTTCTTGCATCAAACAACGAATCATATTACCTAAATGTGATTGACAACTTCAGTTTGACCATCCGTTTGAGGGTGATAGGCTGAACTCAAACGTAAGTCGGTGCACTATCGTTTCCATAGCTCTCACCAGAAGTGACTGAGGAACTTAACTTCTCGATCAGACATTAGACTTCAAGGTAACCCATGTAAACGAACAATTTCTTGGAAGAAAAGATGTGCAATGTGAAGGGCATTAGATGTTTTCTTACAAGAAATAAAATGCGCCATCTTGGCAAACCTGTAGACGACCAACATAATCAAGTCATTGTCGCACTTGGTTCTGGACAAGCCCAAGACAAAATCTAAACTGAGATCCTCCTAAATAGAATATGGTGTCAATAGGGGCATGTAAAGACCAAAATTTAGAACTCCGACCTTGTAGACTTGACATATGGAACAACCATTTACAAGCCTGAAGACATCGCGGCAAAGACGGGGCAAAAAAAAACAGGAATGTAATTATTGCAGCATCTTGTCACGTCCTGCGTATGCTGCCAGGCCTCTGCAATGGGCTTCACGGATCAAGTATTGCCGCCAGGATGACATTAGAATGCATAATAAATTGTGGGCCAAATTTTTGAAACGAGCAGGTCTGTAGCATCTTTTAGGAGAACAAGCGCAATTAGAAAATTATTTCAGAAGCAGCGGATACGCTGGACCATTTGGCGCATTGAAGAATGCGCCAAATGCATTGGCGCATTACTGTAATGCGCCAATTGGATTAGCGCATTTCAGATGATCCACGGTTTGCGCCAAAACATTAAGCGTATTCAGAGTAGACGACATTTTGATGCAATTTCTGTGCTTGAAAACGTTGTTTGATACTAAGTTCAATCATTCCTATTTTGCCTCATATTATTAACTATAAAAAAAAAACAAATATGGTGCCTCAATTTCAGTGCATGAATATAGAATCTTAATTATTTTGCTGATAAGTTTAATAGTTAAATATGTGTCTTTTAAGTTATATGTATTATATATATTTTTTAACTTAAAATTGATAAATTTAACTATATTAATATTTTCGAAAAATATAATATAAAGTAATTAATTTTTTTTATTTGAAAAATGAGAAGTAATAGGATTGTTTTAAGAAAACCAAATTTTTGAAATTATTCTATAGTCTCAAAAATTTACACGTTAATTTTTACGCTATTCATTTATAGAAAATTATTGGTATATAAGATAAATTTTTGTTATATTTTATTTTTCAATAATAATTACGTGTATAGATGAAGATTGAAATATAATTATAAATAATGAGAATGAATTTAAATAAGAAATAAATGTAATATATAATATCATAAGTTATTTTAATTTAAATCTAAAGTAGAACTAGTTAAATTTTTTAGAGATATTGCAATTGGAAAAGTGCGAAAAATCATTAACACAGATTCATGAAAATACAGGATTTGTTTAGTAATAGAAAGGTTGACATCTGATAAGGATTGAAGAAAAGTAAACAAATTATTATTACATTTGGCTGAGAACTATGCGCATACGCGCTTGATGATGAAAAAAAAAAACTGTTTCCAATATATACACCAACTACTAAAAAGACTAAACATCCTAAGAAATAAATAACAAACAAATTACAAAAATTAGCAAACAGGAGTTCTTCGTTGCAAATACATCAAGAAAAATTAATCATACATTTCACTTTTTGGGAGATCACAAATAAATGTTTTAAAAACTAAAATAAAAATATATTCAAGAAAAATAAAAAAACTAAGGAAAACTGTAATTACCTTTCTCTCTGAAGCTAAGGAAGTGCGAGCAGAGCGCTGAGAAAAGATGCACATTCCCTCTTCACCACAGCTCCGTTTTTATAGGCATTCTACATAACTCTCATTCCCAAAAAAAAAACATTACTCCCATCGCTCAACTCCAAACGCCATATCATTAAAGCCTTATCATTATCACCATCCAGCTGCACTGAATGCCACCCATGCAACGCAAATTGACCGCATTTTTCGGATCTGGTCGGGGATAACGCCAAAGCAGATAATATTCGACAGCTGGAATAGTTCAGGTCTTAAGAATGCGCTGAACATTTAAGCGCATTCTTAAGAATGCGCTTAAATGTTCAGCGCATTGCATAAATGCGCTATACAGATCAGCGCATTCTTTGTATACGCGTTTAATTTCAGCGCATTCTACAATACGCCGTACTTTATAGCGTAATTGCTTCTTTTAAAATTTATTCCGAATTACGCTTCTTCCCCTAATAACGCCACGAATCGTGCTTCTTCCTAAAATTTTGCCTAAATTGTGTCGGAACAAGAAGCCATGACGTATAGAGTACTCGTTAATAGTTTCAACATTCAGGCATTATTTCCAAATCTCACCAAAGTCAAGATCAATGATATACAACTCTTTAAGAAACTCCAAACCTGTAATTTCTGTTTGTAACTGTGTGAAAAGAGCAGCTTTCTTGCTGAGCACATCGGCCACGCGGTTTTGTGATCCAAAGTTGTGCTTGAGATCAAATGAAAATTTTTGGAGAAATTTATCTAACTAGCATGCATTTTGTTAACATTCTTTTGGTTGCTTATGTATTGTATAGCTTTATTATCACTGTAAAGGATGAAGTCTTGATGTAATAGATAGTACTCTCATTGTTAAAGTGCACAAGTCATTGCATAAAGTTCTTGCTCATAAGTCATCCATTTGTCTTGCTGGACATAGCTTTTCACTGAAAAAAAAACAATGGGTTTGCCTTTCTAAGAAAGTAGTGCACCTATGCCAATAGATGAAGCATCAACATCAACTGTGAACAACTTATCAAAGCTAGGAAGTGCCAATACTGGAGTTGAACTTAGTGCCTTTGTGATTGCTTCAAAGCTCTGTTGTTGCTCAATCCCCCATTGAAAAATACCTTGGATTGGAGGCATTCACTTATTGGAGCCATAATAATACTGAAGCCTTTAATAAATTTGCAAAAGAAGTTTGCCAACCATGACAGCTCCAAATATAAAAAAAAAAGGACGGGGAACTGGCCAATCTTTCATTGCAGCCACCTTATGTGGATCCATGTGGACACCCTCCTAGGAAATTATGAAGCCATGGAAATGGACTTTGGGTGCAACAAATTCACATTTGGGAAGATTAATAAATAATTTGTGATGTTGTAATACTTCAAAGAGAGCCTCAAAATGTTTGATATGTTGTTCCAAATTACTGCTATAAACCAATATATTATCGATGTAGACAATATAAAATTTACCCAAAAAAGATTTTAATACCTCATTCATCATCCTCATGAAGGTAGAGGGTCCGTTACATAATCCAAACAGCATCACTTTCCACTCATACAATCCTTGTGGCATTTTAAAAGTAGTCTTTCATTCATCCCAAGGCAAAGTGTAATCTGATTATACCCACTACGGAGATCTAATTTGGAAAAGATAGAAGAACTTGTAAGCTGGTCAATCACATCAATTCGTGGTACCCGAAACTGTATTTAATGGTAATTTTGTTAATGGCTCCACTATCTATGCACATGCGACACTTGCTATCTTTTTTTGAAACAAGTAATGCAAGAACTGCACATGGACTCATGCTTGTTTGAATGAGCATTTTGTCTAAGAGATCATCAATTATTGTCTATAAGATATCCTGCTCTTTTGGACTCAATCTATAGTGATGTAGATTAGAAATGGTTGCACCTAGAATAAGGCGATGTGGTGATGTATACCTCGTAGAGGAGGAAGTTCTGTGGGACCAAGGTCTTTAAATAGGTCTAAGAGTCTACCTATCTCAATGCTAACTTGATTTTGACTACAATGAGTATTCAATTCAATTAAAAGCAAAGAAAACATAGGAATTGATTTCTTCCAGCAGTGAAGTAGTGTAGGTCCCAAGATTATATGCATTGCCGCTGTATTAGTCTGCCCAGAAA